AGTCAGAGCGCGTATGCCTCGAAGCTGTTGGAGCGGAGCGGCATGACTGAGTGCAAGCCATGCGTGACTCCGATGGAGGAGCGGCTGAAGCTGACGAAGGCCAGCACCGCGGCAAAGGTAAATGCAACACTCTATCGGAGTATCATCGGTGGTCTGCGCTACCAAGTCCACACGAGGTCAAACATTGCATTCGCCGTGGGCTACGTCAGTCGCTTCATGGAGGATCCTAGAGAGGACCACTAGGCTGCGGTGAAGCAGCTACTGCGCTACATCAAGGGGACGGTGGATCACGGGATCATCTTCCCCAAGACTGGCGGGAGTAGGTTGCAGCTCATTGTGTTCAGCGATGCAGACATGGCGGGGGACATCGATGGATGACGGAGCACCTCTGGCGTGCTCGTCTTCCTCGGGTCGGCTCCAATTTCATAGCTGTCGCTGAAACAGAAGGTGGTGGCGCTATCTACGTGCGAAGCAGAGTGTGTAGCAGTGGCCACAACGGCGTGCCAAGTTCTGTGGCTGCGCCGACTGCTGGGCGAGCTGACCGGTGTGGAAGCTCACCCACCAACACTGATGGTGGACAACTAGCCCAACATCGCCCTCACGAAGAATCCGGTTCTGCACGACTGGAGCAGGCACATCGACGTGAAGTTCCACTTCCTCAGAGACTGTCGATGGAGGGCAGATTGTCATTGAGTTCGTTGAAACTGGTCGGCAGCTCGCGGATATCCTCACCAAACCGCTCGGATGTCTTCGACTCATAGAGCTGAAGGAGATGATCGGCATGGAGAGGGTGCAAGGGATAGCAGTAGGATTATGGAAACAATTGTTAGATAATCTACTGCTTCCTTGTGTGAACACACAGTAAGGGAAGACGACGCCGAAAAGGCCCCCTACTGTGATACTGTAGCCGCTGTAGGGGCAGACGCCGAACGGCTCACTTGCCTCGCTGTAGTTACAATAGGGACAGGCGCAAAAGTCAGTCCTGCTGTGTTATCTAGCCACTGTAGCAGTGGATAGAGTTGTATAAATAGTTTGCCACTGTAACTCAGTAAAGAAAGTTTAGATTTGCCATCTCCTATACAGGGCTTCGTCCAATGCTGGTGTCTCTGACTATGTGTGTATGCTATGTTCTCCCTCTTCTTCTACCTCTGGCCATAGTGTATGTGGTTGGACAATGTCTGTTGTGCTCGATCGTGGTCGGCAAGACTGATGAGTAGTCGACTCACCTGAGCTGGTGATCCTGTGTGCTAACAATTTGCTCACCTGTTTCGTCTGACAGCCTGGAGACTTCGCATATAGGTGAGTCGACAATCGTCTTACGGAACAGATATGTTCGACACTGAACTCTGCCATGAACCAGTAGCCAAATGAAGAACTGCGTTCGTCGGGGTGCACGGGATTCCCAGATGAATTTGGCAGCAGGGTGAGGTGGCGCATCCTTGGACTGCAGCAGCCGATAGAGACTCCCTGAGTCCAGTTTGGTTTTGGGGAAGGCAGAACGGGCCTCGGCGAATATCTCTTGCACCGTTGAGCACCACCTGACTGACAATGTTCTGTAATTGGCTGGTGCCTGGTCGAACTAGGAGATGGTTTGGACACCTCCTTTTGGTATGTTGTCTGGTGCGATGAGTCTGGATATTATAACTAATGTGTGTATAGGACACGAAAGGAGTGGACAACATTTACAGGGTATTTGGTCTGAGAAATCAAACCACTCTAAACGAGGTGATGCATCGTAAGTCTATTCTTCAAATTTGGTGAAATGACTCTATTCTAAATACTAGTACTAGTTATTAACTTGTAAGGAATGAGGTGATGATGTACCAACCCATTCTACTTTACAAACAAAATAAAAAAGTGAGAAGTGAAAAGGTAATGGAACAACTCATTCCTTACCCCAAACACCCTGTGACTGGTTGGTTCTCCTATATAAACACACAGGTAAATACAAGAAGTAATGCTCACTTCCACACAACAACGGAAGAGGTATTCTTCTCTTCCTGATGGCTCTCGTCATGAGCGAAATTAGAAGGATCATGTACTTGACCTCTGCTATTTTCTTGGTTGTTACCATCATGTCCTCCAGCTGCCCAACTTTGACATAAAGGTGAGAACTTCCAGATCTTGTAGGACTTATATAATTTCAAATGAAAATGTGAACTATAAAGTTATTGTTTACACCAAAATTTAGAAGAAGAATCGCAGGGACTCGAAAGCTTCCAAGATCATGTCATCAAGGAATCAATTGCGTACATGTCGGTATCAGCTGATTCGAATGCAACACTGGAATCGGCTTTCTTCCGATAGCGCCAGCAGATAACGACAAAGGCTAGGATCGGCGCCAGGACAAAACATGTTGGACTCTACAAAAAGGGAAAGATTAGGGTCCAAATTATCTTAAATTCAGAATGTTTTCTCTTAGGCTAAAAATTGTGATGAGTCATGCTTCGGTAGGAATCATGCGTAGGTTTCGGGTATAAATATTGGATCCCGGCTATTGTAAAGGACACACAATCAATCAAATACAAGTTCTTTACTTTTTTCGGCTCCGACCACCCCTTAGAGTAAGAGTAGAGTAGACCTCGACGAGTTCTTCAGCGAGCAGGGCTGCATCGGTTCGGCCGACCTCCGGCTTGTCTGTAAGTACCGTCATGGCTTATACTTCTGTTCGTACGGCTGTATCGATCCGGTCGACCTTCACTGCGACTTTGGTATAAACTAGTTATCGATTCTTGTTTAGTTCAAGTACGGCTGCATCGATCCGGTCGACCTCCACTGCTCGAACTAGATTAAGGTCAAGTTATCGGCTCTATCTAAGGGTAGTGTTCCTTTGGATAGGTTCATTAAGTTACCGATATTGCTTATTGCTTCTATTATTCATTTAATTACAGCAATATCACTTCGTCCGATTGGGATTGATCTAGATCGGCCTTATATCCTATTTAACCCATGGTTTGTTAATCTAAATTGATCTAATCTGTACCTTAAACTATGAGTTATGTTTTATCGGCTGTTTTATGTCAATCTTGATTGCGCATAGTGTGCGGTTAAGGCAGGTTTTGTCTTGAACAGATCTATTGGCTAACAAAAACCGTTCCGTGGCCCGTTATAACGGCCTGTGTGATTCTGCCTCACACCCCATTGTTAGCACCGTGGAGAGGGGATCGTTATTTGGTAGATCTGTTCCTGATAGGGCATGACCTTAATTATGCGCTATGCCTGAATTGGCTGTTTTAGCCGATATCGAGCGCTTTCACATACGCAGTTCACGTCACGAGACCGTTGAAGTAAAGATGTGTTAGCCCCATTATCTTATTATTGTATTATGGCCTGCATAATTCTGCCTCATGCCCCACTGATATTAGTAATAAGTTAGGGTCATCAAATCTATTGTTGTTTCTATGACATGCATGATTCTGCCTCATGCCCACTGGTTATAGCGATAGATGATATCTAATATGTTCATGAGATTTACCTTTATTAAATGGTTAAATGATGATGAGCTGCTTCTTTTATATGAAAAGGGATTCGGTTACTAGCAGTCATTGACTCATCATAAACTAATTATTATTGATATCTTACTGCCATTGACTAATATTTGTCTAAATAATGATATTCATCCTAAATGATAACCAATTTTTCTTATACAACCCCATGAGCTTTAACTGATTTATTTTTATGAGTATGCTGGAATTGACTCTTTAGTCGATCTCCTTTCATATCGGCTCTCAGAGCCGCACATTTGGGACTGTCTGGCAACACCAGCACGTTCTGCCTTAAATTACTGTTTAGTTTTCTCTCCTTGTCAATTGCAGGGTAAAATTGACTGGCACGTCTCGGGAGGAGTACGTAGGATCGACCACCCCTGCGTTGAAACCAGACGGATCTACAGTACCATCGAGTAGACCCTTCCGGCTTGCTCGTGTGCCTTCGGCATGGGACGAAATTTCGCGCCGACGGTTGTACACCTCTTCGAGATATACAACTTTGACATAAAGTTTGTCTTCATCTGACTTTATTTGAAAAAATTATGAATTTTAATACGACACACCTATTTTTAGAGATGACACTAAATCCAGTCGCATGTACAAATTGATCTAAATGTGGCTCTAAATCCAGAGGCCTCTAAAGATAGAGACATTTTTAAAGGCTAAAAATGGATTTCTAGAGGTAGGTCATTTCGGAAACTATTCTTAAATATGGTTTTAGATAGAGCCGCCTCTACTAAAAATAGATGCATTGCTAAAAATTAATTCGTTAGTAGTGATATGAACATGAGAATTGATATGGTTTTACATAGATCCGCCTCTACTAAAAATAGATGCATTGCTAAAAATTAATTCTATAGTAGTGATATGAACATGAGCATTGGATGTTGACAAATTTATTCTAGTCTAGTAGTATACGGAATCCAAGTATTCATATATCAAACAATTTTTTATGGGAGAGAAAAGATAATAATAAGTTTGGTGGAGATTTATTGTATTTATTACTTCTGAGTTCATGAGTGAGAGAAGATATTCACATATTTATAGCTTTGTATCAAGATATGGAGCCGACAAGCCTCGAGATATCGAAGTATCCTGAGGGATGCCAAAGTAATGAGTTATTAAAGGTTAAAGATACCATAGTATTTATTGCTTTAATAAAAAGGTAGAAGCAAAAAATATAATAGCACTTGGAGAGAGAAAATGAAGCCTGGCCAATGGATTTGCACAGATGAATATATGAATTGGATATCCATACATTTATTCCAGCCTAAGATGGTATATGGCATATGTGTCTTGATATATGAGAGACATGAAAGCATTACTGCAGAATATCTTATATCTTATTAGATTTTTAGAAGACAACAAAGCTACGAAAATCGTTCATATCTAAAGGATAGTAGTTAACTTCGTCTTCTGTACAATATATAAACACCTGCACACGTACAAAAATGGAGAAGAAATACACAGATTCTCCTCCTCACTAGAAGCGAAGTTTCACAGCTTCTCCCCATGGCGCTTATCATCAAGAGCTCAATCATCGCTGTTTTCATGGTTCTTGGAGTCATATCTGCCACATCCATATGTTGCCTTGGTGCAATCGGTAGGCACCAACCATTGTTTTGCTTTATATTAATTTGCATCATCTTTAATGCATGTTCACATGATCTTGCTTAATACTTCTGTAACTAAGAATTCTTCTGCTTGTGTTGGTTGCATTTCATGCATGTCTGCAGCAGTAGGCACGGAGTCATATCTTCCACGTCCATTTCCTCATTGCTTCCACACTTGGACCTCACAGTACCCCTGTAATGCGTATGGGTGCCACTTGTTATGCGAGCACAAACACCACAAGAGCGATAAGGCCTACTGTAAAAGTCAAGGGCCTCCTGGGGTGTGCTGCTGCCCATAGATACTAGTTCAATGAGAATCCGCGCGTCTGTTTCATGATGTCAATGCAATAAAAATATGTTTGCTTGCTTTGGTATTATTACTCTCGTCATTGCAAGTTTTTTTGCCCGTAATAATTGTATAAATATCAGAGAAAAATTTCTAAGAAATTGTGTACAATGTCAGAAAAAATATGTGTTCATACAGATAATATCAGAGAAAAATCTCCAAGAAAGACAATTTATACATAAATTCAGTAATAAATGTAATTTGCATGTTTAAATTAAGTAAATTTCTAAGCATATGTCATCCAAAGCGGAGGAATAATTAAATTTTCATAATAAACTATGGACCAATTTGGGCTTGTTTGGATTGTGACGCAGGCTGCCCACAGCCAAATCAGGGCAAGGCCCAAAATCTGGTGGCCAAGCCAAAATTCTAAAACAAGTCAAATTTTGGACAACCAGACCATGGATGATGTCTTCCTTGTGTTGTACAACATATGAGGCGTAAATGCCAACATATGAGGTCTAAATGCATCATAAGTAGGATGTGACTTGTATTTTCAGCCGCCTCAACAAATACCCCTATTTTTAGAGACGACTGTAGATCCAGCCGCCTTTAGAAATGAATTTCTAGAGGCGGCAGGACCTAGAGCCGTCTCATAGGTGTAGCACAGTAAAATTTATAACTTTTTCAAACAAAGTTAGATGAAGGTAAAATCATTTGAAATAATTTGTGTCACACTCAATTTTAAGAAATAGAATGGGATGCATAATCTTATGTGCGCCCAGAGACCAATCACGCACATAAGCCGACAAATTATAAAAAGTATCATCACAAGTGTTTATTATATCACGAATATTATCACATAGTCTTCACATAAATATAGCGAAAATATAAAGATAACTCTCTCGCAGAAGCTCCATAGCACAGGGACGTCAACCGGTAGACCACAAAACTAGTAATCCTCAGGGAAGTCGTCATTACCATAGCAACCTGTTACCCATCCAGGATTTTTATCCAAATAATGAAAATAAACAAGCGTAAGTACATCTCGTACTCAACAAGTTTAACATGGGGTTCATGAGGCTCAAAAGCTTGACACGGGTTTGACTGCATTTAGCTTTTAGTTGTCACAATTTTAGCATATGAGTAGCATCAAGTTGTCATAATCCTGTAGTAAATACATGATCAATGTAAACATGATTAATGAATAGCATAAACAAGTAATTAATAGTGATCATCTATTCCATAAATGTTTTAGCCGCTCGTGACCGTGAGCACGGCTGATATACTAGTTTTACACTCTGCAAAGGTTGTACACTTTCACTGTGAGTCGTGATTTCCATTTTCTCGGGGTATGCACATGTAGGGCTCCCCTTCTCGATGGCACATTCCACGTAGGCTATATATACAAGGACAGAGGCCGCACTACACCCAACCCGAAACACACCCCATTTGTGCCTTTAGGTAACCTCTAACAAGCTAGAAAATATCCTTTTACTGAGCTAAAGCCAGAGCCATGTGGCCCTCACAGTTGTACTGTAAGTCCCGGATGATAACATATACATAAGTCCTTAGGGAGAGGAATCTAGAGCACCATAGAACCCAATGCTCCATCCCTCCTAAGCCAAGTCGCTAAAAAGCATATTTTAACATTTATTGCATATACCATTAGTCAAGTTACAAGATCATGGTTTCGTTGAGCACTAGCATTAGCTAACCAATGCAATATCCCATAGGACTCAAGGCATAAGTACAATTCTAGGAAATCCTTATCAAGGTTAATACGAAACAATGATAGTCTCATGCTATACTTGCCTTCATCAAAGTGTTTCTATTGATCCTACTCGTCAAAGTAGTACTCTTGATCACCCACGAATTGCTCACCGTCTATATTCGATCAACACAGCAACATACAAGCATCCAGAAGTAATCATGCATAGCAAACAAAGGCTATCGATTAGAAAATTACACCAACATCATAGAATCAAGATGAAAATTTTGTAAAATGAATCTATGTCTCGCTATGAACACACTCGCGAAGATCTATAAAAATGGAGCTATAACGAAGAAGTTATGAATTAAACAAGATTTCCTTTAATAAAAAAATAGATTAAATCCAACCTCAAAATTCAAAAGTTTAAAACATGTTTAATAGTAGTATGAGCATGTAGATTATGCAATTATGAATCTAATGAACTTGAACGGATCAAAACGGAGTTAAAACAAAGTTTTTATAAGCAAAACAAAACCAGTGGCAAATTTGTAAATAAAGAAAACGTATTTTGAATCTAACAGAGGGAAACTACGCTTTCAGAAAGAGAAAACGTATTCTGAGAATACGCCTTAGACCGTGGGTTCATATCTAGAAAAGTGGAGGACTCTTTAGCAAAATTGCATGACAAAGGGGTATGGTGCGATCTGAGTGGTTTGATTTGATTTGGATGGATCATATTAAAAGCTATGGAGGAAGAGAGAAGCTACCGGATGAAACAGTAGTGACGACATGGCCGGCGAAAGCGTTTCCTTGTCGGAGAAAAGGGGAAAAGGCTCTAGAGACCTTGGTTTAACTCGAGAAAATCATAGGGACCAAGAGGAGATGAACACGAACTCACTAAGGGTTTTTTTGAGGTCAAAGGTGGGACTGCAGCGGCGTGCGGCTTAGTGAGGCAGACGGCGAAGCTCCTGTGAATATCGGTGGTACCAAGTGAGCAAACCGGAACAAGAAAAAGAGAAAGAAAGGGTCCGGCGACTTCGCAAACTCGATGTGAAGCTCGGCAAAAAGCTTACGAAGGCAATGAGGCGGCGGAACGACAATGGTCGAGCTCAGCGCGTCGCTTATGGTTGTGGCAACTCTTGTGGGCTCGATTGGAGGCGGCAGCTGACGCTAGGGTTGGATAGAGAGAGGTGGCGGAGGATTCCATAGGGAGGAGTCTGGCTTGAACTCGAGCTGGAGGTGGAGGACACCGCTGACAAGAGGGCCCAGAGTGTCAGCGGCTCAAGACGCGAGGCCGGGCTATCAGCCAAAGGGAGAGAGGGAAGCGGCGCCCGCACTGCTTCGCTAGGCCGGCCCAAGAGCAGAAGCTCAGGCCAACGGGCAAAGGAAGGCGGCCAGTTGGGCCAACAGGACAAAAAGTCGAGAAAGGAGGGAGAGTGATGAAAATTTTCTTTTCTTTTTCTTAAACACTTTTTGAAAACCAAATTCAACTCAAATTTAAATCCTTTTGCAGTTTTGATCAAACCCAAGCATCACAAAAATAAATATGCATCAGCATGAATGCACAAACATATAGCTAGACCTTATAGTTGATTTTACTTTAACAAAAGTTATTATTTCTCTAAGTTTTAATGCTCACAAAAATGCATGAATAAATCAAATTAACCTATTTTTAAATGAGGCAAATTTTAGGGTGTTACAATTCTACCCCCCCCCCTTAAAATGAATCTCGTCCACGAGATTCGGATGATGCTTACTCAAACAACTGCTGGTATGCTTTTCTTAGATCTTCTTCTCTTTCCCAAGTAGCATCATCCTCTGTATACTGATTCCACTGAACCTTACACATCTTTATAATTCGGCTCCTTGTAACCCTTTCTGTCGTCTCCAAGATCTTTACCAGGAACTCCTCATAGGTGAGATCTTCCTTAACAGTAAGCTCCTCTAACGGTACAATGGGTACGGGTATCCTGATCTTCAGTCAGGTAGAGGTAACTATCATTGTGGTGAAGAATGACACACCGATCCGGCTTCAGATCGAAAGATCGAATCCTGCAATCTTAGCACCACAACTCCTCTAGTTATCAATCGAGACATGGATCTGGTTGACCTTGCCAAGAAGGCTAAACCCTACCTACGCAACGAAGAACACAGGCAAGAACAAGAAAGAAAACAACTAAATTGCATATGAATGATTAATCTCATGATGTTGGGGTCTCACAAACCAATGAACGGCGAAACTATTCTTGATAGATTAATCTAAGCAAAACCCAAAACCCTAACAAGAGTGACCGCCACCTAATATAGAGTCTTGGGCATCACCCCCCTGGACGCGCCCCTAATGGGCCCAAGCACGATACACGGTCCAACGGACCAAAAGACGGTGTCGCAGCACCCTGGCAGATTCTGGACGCTGATTGTTTTGACAATTCCCATTGATTCCGAAGGGTTTTTGACGTGAGACCACTTGCATTGGCTTCCTTATCTAATTAGCTTTCCATCCATATATGGATCATCGAAAATGGAGCCCGGACGTGCCCATGTGACTAGTTTTATGACAGATTGGTTCTAGAACCCGAGATGGGCTCCAACTTTAGTTGGACTGGGCCTCCACCATGAGAAAGATGAATTGGATGCCCATGCTGGACCTCCTCCTCTCCTAGGCTTGTATGTGATGGAGTGATGTCCTCATCATGACCCTCTCCTATGTTCCTAAGCAAGATAACATCATTAGGTAGTAGTCTATTCTCAAAAGTATGAAAAGGATCTCTTAAGAACGAGCTCACCTCTAAATTGAGTTGACGCATTCGAGCTCGGGTCATTGGACCTTGCATAACGGTTGGAGGATCAATGGGTACATCCAGAGGAGTGATGTCCTCATCATGCTCCCCCTCTTGAAACTGAATCATCCTCGACTCAAGCTCATCATCTTCTCCTAAATAAGGTTTCAAATCTGCAATGTTAAAGGTGGGACTAACCCCGAACTCAGGTGGCAACCCAAGTTTGTAGGAATTATCATTTATTTTCTCAATTATCTTATAAGGACCATCTGCTCTTGGCATTAATTTAGACTTATGTAGCTCAAGAAATCTATCTTTTTCTCAAATGTAACCAAATCAAATCACCCTGTTCAAGTTTAATTTCTTTTCTACCTTTACTACCAGTAATTCTATACTTTTCATTCATTCTTTTAATATTTTCTTTAGTTGTTTCGTGCAACTTATGAATGAAATCAGCACGCTCTCTAGCATGACTATGTGTTCTCTCAGTGGTAGGTAAAGGCAAAAGATCAATAGGAG